TTGAAAAAAAAAAAAAAAAAAAAAAAAAAACCCATCATTTTACTAGTTCATATGAGATGAAAAAGAAAAGCTTACTTAAAATTGCAATTTTCACGAACCAACAATAATGCCTTGAATACCAAGACAGACTTTATTTAAAATAAATGTATATTTCACTGTTAATATATGGAAAAGTACAAATAACTTCAGAGCATACAAGTCGCATCTTAGATTGCGCCTTTATTCATCTGCCGCAATGAATAATAATCATTTCCCATACAAGGATACCAAAATTCCTTGTAAATCCACTTTTTTAAGCTTCATGATTATCCAAGCCTGCCTTCCTCCCTCAATTAGGCAATGAAGTTTCTCTATTTCGGTCGCGTTTAATCTTCAAGAGACCGCTTCTACGGGAGCTACAGACTTGTAAACTCTCTCTTTAGCCTTGTTGGCCTAAAATACAAGAAGAAAAAAATGATTGATTGAGTTAGATTTTGAAGAAACAAATAGCTTCAAAGTAGTGAAAGCGACATAGATATTACTTGTTCCTCCCAGTTGGTGTTTATGCTGATCACAAGAAGGAACAAAGACTGCACGACGAGCGCGCATATTATCCCCAACCAGAGACCCTATTAAGGAAATAAAAAGAAGAAAATGTTCCAGAAAAAGTCTTGATATCGAAATTCAAGTGTATAACATGATAAGAGGCATACGAAGAGAGAACCTTTCCACCAATGTGGAAGACAAAAGCCAATAAAATAGCTGATGGAATTCCCACTATATAGTATGATCCAAGATTCACATATGCTCCGATCTTCTGCCACCCACATCCTCTAGCATTTCCTGATGTACGCAAGGAGGTACCAACATCATATAATTGTGCATATAATTGGTAAATTTTTTGTTCACACCATTACAAATTGTTCATCTTCCTCTAATTTTCCTCATCTTCAAGAGCCTAAAACAAAATGTCTTAAGGTGATTTTTGTCATAAGAAGTAAGCAGAAGGAATAAAAACCTGAAAGAACACACTGCAATCCCTCTAGAAAGTGGGATCCTGCAAGTATAGGCATCATCTTCGCAACGTATTTGACCACTTCTATTTCATTGCTATAAGCATAACCCCAGATATTACGTATCAGTATAAGAACTAATCCCACCAATAATGCCTCGGTGACAGTCATGACTACCGCAACCCACACTGCCAAACGAGCGGCTCCTGGGTGACCTGCTCCTAATTCATTCGAGACCCGAGTGCTGTTAATCATAAACAAAAGGAAAAACAGTAAGATAGCATTTGGTTCGAGAGTTCTAGACCCAGAATCATGATTCTAGTTCAAACCTTTATTTGTTTGCAAAAAGTAAAAAATAGTTTCGGTTCAAGGTTTGAAAACCAGTGTTTGGTTTGAATGGTTTTGATTTAAGGTTTAAACTCTGATGTGATGTTTTAAACCAAAACCACTCATAGTTTTAAAACTATCTCCCCCTTGGTTTTGGGTGGTTCAAATCCCTGATTATGATTCTGGTTTCAAAATCATGATTGGAGTCAAAACCATAAATCATGGTTCCAATTCCAAAATTAAAATCAGAATTACTCTAGTTTTAACCCTCATACCTACGGAGCCTAAGTTAAGATGATCCATTTAAAACTTCTGTCTCTAAACCCTTATCAATGGTATCAAAATAAAACCTTTAGATATGCGCAAAAATAATAATAATAATAATAATAATAATAATAATAATAATAATAATAATACAAGAAAGGGTGTGTTGTACTAACATACAAGTTGTAAGCTAGCATGAAAAATGAAATTAAATCTTGCTAACATAAAGCTGTTTTCAAGCTAACCTCACCGCACCGCTGAGTCCAAAAGGGATCATCCAAACAGTTGAGGCTGTGTTTAGGCTGGCAATGCACACAAGTCATAAGCTATGTAACTAAAATTTGAAAAATCAAGAACTTGTAGCAAAATTTTTTTTAAAATCAACCCGAATCAAACTTTTGTCACAACAAACCTGATAGAGAGAACAGAGGTTTCTAACTCTGGGTTGGGAAGAAGGCCTGATAAAAGAACTACCATTTCAAATGACCACATTTCTAAGCTGTACAAAACATTGCAAAATGTCATGGTAAATAGCATTAGCATCATTGAGGAAAAAGACTTTCAAACAGTGCTACAGAGCTTTTGGCCAAGAACTTTTTCTGCTATTGCAGATCACAGATATAGAATTAAACCTGATAATGCCACATTAAGTGCAGAAGAGAACTTACCAAACCATTACAGCTGAAGGAATGGCAAGTCTAACAAACGTAGGAGTATTTTCAAAGGCTTCCTTAGAAAACCCTGTCCAAGTTTTCGCACACGAAGAAGAAAACTTAACATAAAGAGCTAGCAACAGCACATTGTTCCAATAAGATATGGAGTTCGCCAAGGCAGCTCCTTTGCTTCCAAGTCCAGATTTGAATACCAATACCCAACACAAAAGTATATGAAGCAAAGTTGCAATCCCAGAGGAAACCACCATTGGGAAAACAATGTTTTGGGTTTGTAAGAACTTGACTAGGCACTGAAGAAGACCATAGGCGAATATGCTCGGGATCATGAACCGGGCATATCGCCCGGCTTCTGTGGCTATATCAGCATCTTGGCCTACAGCAATTAGAATAGGCTCTGTGTTTGCCCAGATAACTGCAAGAGGTATGCTCACAAGTAAAAGAACAAACATAGATCTTTGTGTATGTATTCCCAACATATGATATTGCTTTGCCCCATATGACTGCCCAGATAAGGTCTCCAAAGCACTCGCCATTCCCAACTATTCAGTCAATAAACACACCACAAAAACTCAACTTTATCATCATAAATGTATTCAAATGTATACTCTTCTTTTTGCTTTGTCAATTCATCAAACAAAGAGAATTCATTCAAAGTTAGAGGAAAAAACTAACTCACCAAAAAGCTGAAACCAGTCACAGCTGCAAAGGAAGTGGCCATGGAAGCGCCAGATAGCGATAACTCACCAAGATGACCAACAAACATCACAGAAATCATCTGTAAGCAATACTGCAATAAACTCACAGCTATCAAAGGCCCTGCTAACCATAACTGCCTTTTCACTTCTTCAAGAATTTGCTTTCTCTTAATACCCTCTTCACCAACTCTGTCCCTTCCATTGTTGAGCCCATTTTCCTCACAAGATTGTATCAATGGAGTGACTAAAGATGGTTTGTAATTCTCTCTCTCCATATTCGTTGGCTGCTTTTAGAGTGGCCACACGTTTTGCATAATTGTATTGTATTTATATGTATATAGCCAAAACCTTAGCGGCGTTCTAGCAAGCAAAAAAAAAAAAAAAAAAAAAAAAAAAAAAAAAAAAAAAAAGAGAAAAAAAGAGAGAAAAAAAAATCTTGGCCGCGTCACATGTTGTTTAACTAGCTTGGTTATTTAAGAGTTGGCCCTTCTAATTTGTAACAAAAATGTAGCCACAACCACAATTTTTGTTTTATGAGTAAGCATTTGCGAGTAAATTTTGTATTATAATTCTGGACCGGCTGAACTGAATGACTATGAATTAGTCAAATGGTACGGCGTTGGCGGAGAATTTTCAGGCAAAGAATCTCAAGAATCTAACAATCTTTTTTTTGTCATTATTTATTTTCCTTCAAAGAAGAATCTGACAATCTAACATTATATAAATTAGAATTTAGAAGTATGAATTCTCACTTTCCACGTTTTAGTCGAAAGATTTTTTCTTTTTTTTTTTTCTGGTGTCCTTTTTTTCTTTGTTTTTTTTTTGGTGTTTTTACCTTTCTTTTTTTTTTTTTGGGTGTTTTTTCCTTTCTTTTTTTTTTTGGGTGTTTTTTCCTTTCTGACTACATTCAATGGAAGCGATCGGGGGCATGTAACATGTAGTTCTAAGACCGCTAACATCTCTTCCTAAACTCATAGCTAGCATACTTTTAACTCGCCAAGATTTAAATCTAACGGAGAACTGCTATCATTATTATAAAGAAAATACTAAAACTACATAACAGAAATATCGACTTTATTACAATAAAACATAATTAACTAAAACCTAAAGCACAACCACCGTAAGCCTTAAATGAAAGCACAGTCGATAAGAAGACCGTATGTAATGTCTAGGAAATTCATCAATATAAATATGAGGAATTGTTCGGATTTAGATAGTGGATTACCCGTTTATTTATTGAACTATGTCAACATAATTTGGTGATGCAAATTAAATAGGCTTTTTTTTTTTTTTTTTTTTTTTTTTTAAAA